AATGATTGTATTATATCTTATTAATAACATCTAAGTGTCAGTAAATATAATACAATCATAATGATTGTATTATATTTACTGACACTTAGATGTTAAGAATATGCAGTAGCCGTAACTATTACATTTAACATCTTTACATTACGTTAGACCTAAGAAAATATTTGGGTGCACCAGTGCACCCACATAAAAAATTGGGTGCACAACTCCAAATTTGGGTGCACTAAGGTGCACATGCGCCCAGTATTTCCAGCCCTGCCTAGTTTCAAGTGTGTAGTATTCGGCTAGGTCAGTTACTGTTTGGCTGCGAATGTTTAGAAATTTTTAAAACATAATTCAAGGTGGATGGGAAATTCGGCCATGGTTGGCTGGTATTTGGGAATAGGTCAGCAGTGGTTGGAGCATGTTTGAGGGTCAAATTTGACTCAGATTTAACTCAAATTTGATATGATTCATGCAAAAGGTAGGCATGGCTCAAACCTGGTCAGACGGCTCCCTAACTGCAGCCGACCTTGGTTGGTTGGTGTTTGGGATGAAGGTTAGTGGAAAGTCTGAATGTGTGACAGGAGTTACCTGTATTTCTAGTGGTATGACCCATTATGTCAGCTGATATCTGCAGGCAATTATTTAGATAATAGCTGTAGTGCTGCAGACTAAAGGTCACTCTACAACATGGTCTGTCACAGGCTGCCATGACTCATACCTGTCTACTTCTGTAATGTTACAGTACTTCCTGTGCCCTGGGCACTTTGCACTGTCCACTATGTAAAACTGTCCAGGACTACAACTTTTCAGTCGTATGGAAACACTGACCAGGAAACAACCATGTGAAAGTCAGTCTGTACTGATGTTTGGGAGGAAAGTCCAGTATGGCTTTCTGTACGGGATATTATAATTGTACGTGTGGAAGATAGCGATTGCTTTTAACCATCATGGCCATGGCCAAAACTGTGCTGCTGTTCATGCTCAAAGGGCCCAGAAACTGCCGGCGTCGACGGAAACCCTGGCGATTGGGTGGTAAGTACAGTACTGTAGCAGAGAGTCATGTGGATGTGTCTAAACCTACCAGCCAGAAAGTTGTTTTAGGTGTGGGCACAGAACACTGAACTGGTTGGACAAGTACGTAGCTACATGTACAAAGACTTTAGTACTTGTACATGGGTTACTCTGTGAAGCTCCTTACATACATACAATGTACAGTATAGCTGAAGTAAAGAAACCACTGCCCAGTGACATTATGCTTATTGATTAATGTTCATGATGAGTATGATGGATGTTTTGTATTGTTCTACATGTGTGCTATCCTTCATAAAGGCATAACATTTCAATAATGTGATGTTATGTCAACATTGGTGTCAGACATACATTAATTAATGTTCTGTCACTCTTTGTTTTCTTGTATTCATGTCTGTTGACATGTACTACAGTAACTGGTTATGTAAAATTCCCCAGACTTGCCAATTCGCAACTACAGTGTCATGTATTTTTCTATTCTGTGACACTGGCGAAGACCATATTAATTAAATCAATTGGTTCTCGTATTCTCCCACGTAATTTTTTTATGATTTGCCAAAAAAAGAAGGATTCAGATTCACTGGTTCACTCAGTGCACTGAAGCTAGGTGTTACTGGTTTACTGTGCACTGTAGCTAGGTGTTACTGGTTCACTGTGCACTGAAGCTAGGTGTTACTGGTTCACTGTGCACTGAAGCTAGGTGTTACTGGTTCACTGTGCACTGAAGCTAGGTGTTACTGGTTCACTGTCCACTGAAGCTAGCTAGGTGTTACTGGTTCACTGTGCACTGAAATTAGCTGCTAACAATGCAAAGTAATTCTGACATGATGTAATAATGTATTTTCATTGTTACAATGTACATCTAGTAAGGTTTGCAGTTCCAAATTTAAAGTATTGTCATATAGTGTTAACAACACTGAGCTAATGCAATCCCAAATATAAAGTATTGTCACGTAAGAAATTGTTAACTTAGATTATAATAGTAATAATAAAACATTTGTCAGTTATTGAGAATGTTGTACAAATTACTGTGCATAATAGTATCACTGCAGTAAAACCTAGCTTCCCTTAAATGTAGCACCCTGTTCTCATACTACTCTACATGTACATCAATGGCTTAGGAACAGTTAATTAGCCTGTACCTGGCTTCTCGTTTTGCTCCATTTTACCGGTCCATATATTGTGTAGTATGGGTAAAAACCTTGTTTGTTCAAAAGGACAGGAGCCCGTGCGGCCGTTGACCACAGAATACTTCTGCTCTGGTCTCCTAGCAACCCCGTGGAAGGTTTGATAGTCCACTCTGGCTCAGGTTAAAGAGTTTGAGTAAAAATAATCATTAACCACACACATGGTGATACAGGAGGAAAGATGTGTCCTGTATGCCAGTTAAACAAGGCAGTTTCATATTTGTCTCATGTCAATTAGGTTAATGTTATAATAACTTATATCATTATTGTAATAGTTAAAGTATCATCGTGTAGTTTATGTAGTATTCTATACAAGTTTACAACTTAGGGTATATGTATAGCATAGGTGTTCTGTATTATTAAAATCTCATATGATTATGAGAAAGGGATCATAGTGCCATGAGTACCTTTCCTACAACATATTTTAATACCAGTGTAGGAAATGTTTCTACACAATTAATACTGAACTTGATGAAGATGAAATTATAGGAATCTGAGCAGAACTTTAGTCTGAAAAAGTTTGTCCAAGTGAGAAGACAGTGCGAGGGAGGCAGGCATGTACATGTACATTGTATAAACTGTCCACTCACAGTTGTCAAATATATGATAAATACATCACAAAGTCTATTGATATTTTAAAAAGTTTACATGTGAAAGAACCTGTGTGAAAAAATATAAAATCAAGCTTAATTAGTGGTGCATACTGGTTCACTGGACTTGGATCCGGACTTGTAAGAATGTTTAGGTTCAAGTCCAAAAAAACCTAAAAGTCAAGAACTGAGTCCGGACTTATTACCATAAGACCATTTCACATACCCCTTTTCTTTCCAAACCGCGTAAAACCCTCCATAGACTGCAAAATGGAGAAAACATTGCCATCGAGCATCGTCAAGTACTGGCCTCCATGTTATGTGGCCAAAGTTGCATCCAGACAACATTGCAAGGTTGCCAACATGCAATTTTGTATATGTCATGGGTTTAGGTCCGGACTTACAAGTCCAGAACTGAACCTAAACCTCTGGACTTGAATCCGGACCTGAACCTAAAATTGGGTTTAGGTATGCATCACTAAGCTTAATATATCTCTACAACAAAACCTTACGGTAATTTTATACTAGTACTAGCTTGTCCATGTATATCTGAGAAATTCAAGTGATTTTCAAATGTTCAAGTTTCATGGAAGATACTATACATCACTATTTTTTCATGGTACTTTTATATTCACAGTTTTCTGTATCGCAAACTTATCATTACTGTGCACTGTGAAATAATTTGGCAACTTTCTTTTTTGCCGCATCTGCCCCTACCGCAAACGCATAGTTCTGCAAACATGTCCAAGCCTCGAAATTAACTTTTTTTACTATTGTCCCAGCATTGTCCCAAAAATAAATTTCGAATTCGATTGTCCCAAAGTGAGTATGTATGGTCCTAACCTGTTTTTCGGGAAGTACGGTATGTATGACTTGAACTTTATTTTGCTTATGACTCCCAGGCACGTTATAATTACAGAGTAGACAAGAAATTGGGAGGGGGGCTTTTCTGGAGCCAAAAGCTGGGACGCATGCGTGATTATACAAGAGAAGGGTTGACATTCTGATGTTGACTATTCACACTTGACTATTGTCCCAGAAATGTCCCAAAGTGTCTTTCTAGTTGTCCCAGCCTAAATTTTACCGGTCAGTGGCTATCGGGACACTGTTAATTTCAAGCCACGATGTCCAGTTTTTCTCAGACCGCTATTTATTTTTGCTGCCATGTGAAAATAAAGTGATTTACTGTATGAGAAAATCAACCAATTCACAAGGGACCTAGAAATCATGGGTTCTTCGAACATACAATAACATAATGATAGATTACAAGTTGTAGATTTTATCTATTTATGTAAATTATTTTACTCGGTTACATTTTTCGTTAGTCCTGCATATTTTCTGACATGTGCAAAGTACTTTGATTTTTAGACACGTGAGTTTTCACTCGCAAATTTTTCACATGCAGAAAACCTTTCCCCATAGAAATGTGCAGCTGTAACATTAGATACTTCAGTGGATAAAGGGAAATAAATGTTCCCCTAGGCAATGGCCAATAGCAGCGCATTCCAGGCAGTCAGTTGACAGTGGCAAGTATCACTCATTGCATGATGTATAATTTATAGGCAGATTAGTGGATTCTCACCAAGGACGTTGTCAAGAGCACAGTCTATATGTGGAACGTCAGATTACTAACAGAACGGGGGAGGGGGGTGCGGCAGGCTTGGCATGGTTAGCATACTTCTAGGTCAACCAGAGATCACATGTTCCCGATTTAAACTCCAGTGGAGGCTATTTCAGGAATTTGAGGAGCTCTTTTAGTGATGTGGAGTGTCTGAAAACCCTTAAGTGAGCCTTGTGATTGGTTGTTGATAAATTTGTCTTACAGCTTAGGTGGCCTGTCTGACAAACAAGCAATATCAACTTTCTTTGCTTGTTTTTTTTTGGTAACATTATAATACTTAATACAAGTTGCTGCTATAATGGATGTGTTTAGTATTTATCAAATGTTCTTAATTACTAGTAAGTGCAAGGAAGTAGTGTCATTATTTATATATATATGATTTCTGAAGAATACATATTACAGTCCATTGCCAAGGAAGACATTTTGGGAAGAATTATGTAACAGTATATAGTGTTATATAACATGAAGGTATAATTATTCTAGAAAGGTTGTGGTGATTGTTGGCTTCTCAGATCCTTGCCAACCCCCATACAGAGCCCCAGAGAGACATACAGAGGGCATAGTGTGCCAAGAAGGTGACCTGTCTTTTGTGGTAATTCATGGGGAATGGATCAGAGGTTTTGCATAGGATGGAATTGTAGGGACTCAGGAAGAGACAGAAAAGGACAGATGTGCAGTAGAACTGGAATAGACTGGAAAACTGCAGTCGATGTGGGACTGACCCCTGATACCCAGAAGAAGTAGTGGTTGTGGCTGTGTAGCAGGTCTGGTACTGACTGGTGTACAGCGTGGTAGGAGGAGGTGGGATGTGGACAGTACGAGCATGTCGGTGTCATGGCGGCAGCGGGGTGAAGCGGCGGATCATGGCGTGCACGGCGTTCCTGACGTGCTGGTGTGGCGAGCGTTATAACGACGACAGGTCGGAGAGGAGCGGCCGTTCCCAGGCCACGTGTGGGTCGTCATGTGCCTGTATGTCTGCTGACTGATGCTGCAGGGCCAGAGGCTCCCAAGGGGGATCCTTTTTTATTATATGAATATTCATGGGCTTTTAGTGTAGCTCTAATTTCTGATTTGATTACATGTGTACCTTCACCAAGAACGGTAGGTTTTTGTAGCATGGTTTAGTGGCATTATAATATTATAATTATAGTTGTTGATGGATTTATATAAACTTGTGCAGTTAGGTCTTGGCCTATATCGAAGAAATAGTTAGATTTTGGGACCCTGGGTGATTTTCGTATCTATAGGAACTGATGCAGATTGTCCTTGTTTTCTATTTTATTATTATGCTACATCATGATATCTGGATGCTGGGTAGTTCTTGTACTTCCATTGGAAAGAAGTGACAAAAGTTTTGGGCCCTCTATAGCTAGCAACTTTTGTTGGAACTGCATGGGCAGTTCTTCAGCTGTAGACTTTCCAACAGGATAAGTCCAGACTAGGGGTGGGTACCAGTTCAGCCGGACCGGTTTAAACCAGAACAACATTTGGGAACCGAGTCCAAGAAACCGAAACGCAATTTACCATGTTCATCAGACCTGATGTACATTTCTGTAGATTGTACACACATCTTTAAATTCACATATTCTGGCCATGGCAGGTAAAGAAAATAACCATGAATCAAACGATATAACCTACATCCATGTTTGTGTGTTAAGTTTCTGTAACTGTGTTCAGCTTCAAATTGGCCTGAAAAAAGTTTGTGCACCACGAGATGGATACCAACTCTACCAAGCGATGCAGTCATGTGTCCATATACATATAAATTTTCACTCCAAATTTTGGAGAATTGTCGGCATTCAGTGTTCAAACAGATTAAAAAGGGGACAAAGAACATTGTTTCTTTCTTGTGCATGTGTATTTAATCCGGTTTGGGATGTATTTATGCCGCCTTGAACAAATTCTAGCGCTCGCATTGACGCAAACTGTGGCCATCTTAGATCTGTGTCAAGTCTCAAGGTTTCTCGAGCCGCAAATCTCGCGAGAGATGCAATTATCAACACTCGCTAGAGGGCTGTCCAAGATCTGATATTATTACTACTGTCATGACTGTACGACAATAATCAGGTCCAGGTTTAGGTTCGGACCTGAACCTGATCCTCTGAACCTGATCCGGACCTAAACCTGAATTTTCTGAACCGGTACCCACTGGTCACAGACAGGTTATTTTGGGGACTATATATATGTAGATTATTGAGTATTTAAATACGTATGCACTGTAAAGTGTAAGACATGCAAATTAGGTGACTTCTATAATCATAATATGATATCGCCTAAGGAAGATACATGTATGGACTACCTAATGGTGTTGTGGAACTGTGGTTCTGAAAATTTCCCCAGGGATCCCTGTCAGTACTTCAATACCGGTAAAGTAATCCCCTGGGGAATTGGTGAGGGTGTGAATAGGTCGATCTAACTATAGGAAAAGGTACATGTTTTCTTTTAGTCAATTGAATAGTCTTATTAAAGAACTCAACTAGTTTATGTAGTTAACTGTTTTTACAAAACCTCTGGATTGATGAGAATAATTTTATCAATTTCTTTTGGCAGTCAACCAATTAAAACTGCAATGCACAAAAAAAAGATTTTTTTTCTATCGTCAGTTTGTTTTGGGCACAAGCTGGAATGATAACAATTTTCTGGTGTTTACATAGGTCGATATTTGATTTGTCTCTGCAGCCACAAAAGATCTGCTTGGAGATTATCATTTAGTATGTCCGGTTCAGTTGCTAGGCAGCCCCGCCCACCGGGTGGCCGGGAACACATCCATAATCATGGTTAGCCCAGCTGTCAGCCTCTCCCCTACTGAGCATGTGTGGTGACCTGTGACCTGATTTATTATTCGGGATGATTTTCTAGCGCTGGTGGCAGACATCTGGCTTTGGATTTTGATTTGACACACAGGATGCGTCTGTAGGTACGTGCAGTTGACATTATTGGGTACAGGAAAGCGTGCAGAGGGAGCAGAAGTGAGGTGTAGCCTGTTTCTTGGCAGATAGAATCTCCATGTAGGTGGGCAGGGGCTGGTATTGGACTCTACCCTCATCAGTTAATCTGTCACATGAGCCATGATGAGGAGGGTTTTCTGGCGGGTACCTTGTGACCTGCTGGTTTGATTGACAGGTGGGATTAATGAGATTAATGTTGTGGTTGGGCAGACCCTGAGGAGACAAAGCCTTGTCCCTCCCAACTTCACATCCATCCTGCCATGTCAGCTGATGGGACACAGACTCACCGGCAGGGGAGGGGAGGGTCTGCTCGGGGGTTGTAACAACACCTTTCATACCGTCAAGTCCACCAGAGCAGCTCCTTTAACCCCCTTCTGAGATTGTTGTTATACAGTAATAAATAGATTGCCAAGTTTGTATCTGTGACTAATACCAGAGTTCTGGTAAATGATTCATGTTCAACAAGAATATTGACATCATCGTTTGTCATACCCTTAATTTAAACCCCTGGAAATTGGGTTTTAGATTTATACTATTGCAGGTAAGAGATACTGAATACACATGTATGATGTGAGATATAAGCCAACGCTTTGTGCATTTGTACTAATAGAGTCAAGTTTGAAGGGAGAAAATCTTGAGAGAAGGTCTCTGCACTAGTATACGTGTTTGTTGTAGAAAACTGTACAAACACATGCGTGTAGGGACTTTATCTGTCTCAGTCTACAGTTGAGGAACATCTCTTGTAAATTGTCCAATGTCCAAAAGAATTGCATCTTTTTCCAAATTTCAAATAGGGAAAGAACTAAATAATGTTTGTATTTAGTATGATTTTAGCTACATGTATATTACAAGTGGCATTCTACAGTGTACTTTGGCCTGTTTGCCATACATGTACTTATAAGTTATATTTACCAGGGTTCCTTCTTTGTTAACTTAAGATAAGACTGTCATGGGGTGAGGCTTACAAGCTATTATTTTTTTGCTTTTTTTTTTATATGCTGTTTTTTTTAAAATCATATGTCAGTTTTCGATTGTACATGGTTTCTTGTTTGATTTTGGGACTTGATATAACTTGATATGTTTTGAGACTTGATATGTTTTGGGAGTTCATACCTTCAAAGCTGACAACATTGATAACGGCTATAAGCAGGGTCCCCTAGGATTTATAGGTAACTACATGTATGGTACTTCCAAGTCAGGGATGTGATAAAAGATATTTGTGGGAATTAGGATGGGGTAGGATTAAGGCTTTTTTAAGTAATTTGAAGAAGGTTATGTTTTTGGTAGCACTTGGATGTATGTATACTATGTTACAATGTGGTTTAGCACAAAAAAGTATGTACAGGTCCAGTGTCAGGTTTGCAATAGCATCAAACTGTGAGCCAGCATACGCTGTTTCAGAGAATAATGGTGACTTGTATTGTATAGTTGGACTGATATTGAATTGTTATCGTCTTGACCTTTGACTTTAAGGTTGTGACATAACCCTGAATGAACTTTGACCAGCACGTCGGCAGAACGCACTGCACCTGCGCGAAACCCGTAATGTATTGTGCATAGCACTTCGACAGAATGTCTTATATAAGGTCGTACTAGCGCATATAAGGTTAACATCCCGTCTTTAGTTTCCAAATGTTTCTTAGGAAAGGATATCCTCTGCAACAGGCAAAATTCTGATGCAACGTTGACCAAAAATCCACCGAAAATTGCGAAAATACAGGGTTCTGCGCAGGCGCAGTACGTTCTGCCGACGTGCTACTTTGACCTTATCCGACAAGACAGGGATCCCTGGAGACTTTATGTCATCAATAAGACTAGAGTTCTAGAGCCTTGACTTGTTCGTATACAGGGTTCAAAATACCCACTCTCACCATGCAAATTATGGTTTCTGTGAATTACTGGAGATAACAGGTTGCAAGTTAAGGCTTCTATAATTACTGTGTCCTGTCTCAGCCAGTATGGGAGTGATACCTCTACAGGTGGTCTGGCTTACGGCTTGCCTTCTTAAATAAGTACCCCATTTGCATGGATTATATCAGTTGATCATATTCTACACCCAATGACAGCCTTATCTTAACAAAAATGCTATTATAGCACTTCCTCATAAATTATGCAAATGAGGCCATGATTTAATAAATTATGTTTGTTGATGTTCACCTTCACTTAACTTCCAAATGTGGCAAGTATGAAATTCCCAGAAGTTACAACTATGAAATTATAAAAAGTTGCCATTTATTATGCAAATTAGGTCCTCATTTACATAATCTATATCCTCAGATGTTTTTTCTCGTTCTCACAAATGTCACAAGTGTTTCATAGGTCTATTATCGAACAAAGCAGATTTATAGAATTTCCTCATTAATTATGCAAATTAGCTCCTGATTTGCATAATTGTCATCTGATCATGTCAAGCATCACTTCAACTACCTACATACCAAAAATCACGACAATCCGTCAACCGGTTCTTGAATTATCCTCATTCCAAAAAATTTCAACAAATGCTCCTGCAGTTCCAGAACAAGCCGCTAGGGGACCCAAACTCATGTCACTTCTTCCCTATCCCAAGAGCTATCTGCCATCCAAACTTTGTGACCCTAGCATGTCCAGATCACGAGATATCAAAACCGGAAGTTCTGCTGCAGTACCTAGGAAAGCCACCAGGGGGCCCAAAATCTAATCATTTCTAGGTCTCATGAAGACCTACCCACCTACCAAGTTTCATTCCAATCCATCCACTGCTTCTCGAGTTATCTTGCTAAACCACACACACACACACACACACACAAACACACAAACACACCCACAGACAAACGCTACTGAAAACATAACCTTCTTGGCGAAGGTAATAAACAGTCAGTGTTGACGGCAACCTGAAATATTGATTGGTTTACAGTGCACGTGGGCAACCTAGGTGAAAAAGTATTTGGAACCCTGTTACATTAAAGTATTGTGTTCAAACTTCTGCTATCTTTTCTTGCCTTCTGTGTCTGTATGATGTCATCATCACTGACCACTACTGGACATTACCCAGATGAAGAAGAATACTGTCTGGCCAATATAGAGGAACTGCCCACACCTAAAAAGGATTTAAGGGACTGTCCATTACAGAAGGAGGGGGTGGTGTGTCGCCATCGTGCCCTATCATCTCCATACCCAGGTCCTATATATACAATGTTCTGATACGATTAATTGCATTTCTACATTGTACTAATTTGTAGTCTTCCAAATAACTTATTTTTTCCAGCTTAAGCCAAGATGCCTTGTAATTGTATAATTTTTTGCAGACATACATACGTAATATTATCTTAATCTTAATATGTTGTGTACCCAATATTTTGTTTGCACTCCCAAAGTTTTTAGGCTGGGTGCACTGGTGTACCATTCTCATAAATTGCATAATGAATATCCAGCCCTGCTTACCACACACTACATGTACATGTACCATCGCAATAATCAAGTTTTGATAGACGGCTATTCCGAGATCAGGGTGCGCCAAAGGGTTGCACTTGGGCCAATTTTTCAAGTTTTATATTTTTCTACTTTCAGTGCAGAAAATCGCACTAGAGGTGTTACCATACATTGCACTTTTTAAATTTTTGGATAGAGACGTTCAGTTCAAAAGTTGTGCTCTTCCAAACTTTAGCCCACTCATTTCAGATGTGGCCGGCAACGGACACTACTAGCTAAGCTGTAGTGTTCCGTTGCCCGGTCCACA